TCTGCGACCTGCTCGCGCATGCAGTCGAGGCTGTCGCCGTCCTCCATGCCGATGTCCTCCAGCGTCTGGTCGCCGCGGACGCGCTGGCCGTCGAAGAGGAAGCGGAGCGACTTCACGTTGGCGCGCTTGAGCCGCGCGTACGTGTCGAAGAGCTCGACCAACGGGGTCGTCGGCATGAGCTTGAATACGTCGTACTCGCCGGTCTGGTCGCGGACGCGGATCTTGAGCCCGACTCCAGGACGATGGGCTCCGACGCCGACGATATAGACCTGTTTCCCCTTCCCGCGCTTCGAGCACTGCTCCCTGTGGTTCGCCCAATCGGCTCGTTGACAGACCGCGCTGCAGTAGCTGCCGCGGAGGCACGCGGCGCAGTTCTTCATTGACCGGTTCCAGATCTGACCGCACACGTCGCACGCGCGCAGCTTTCGCCTCGCGGAGACAAATTTGCGGTTCGAGGGGTTGCACGGCGCCGGCCCGAGCTGTACTTCGGGTTCGCACATGAGTTCTGGAATCTTGTGGACGAGCACCCGGTCTTCGGCGCATGTCCGAAAGGCGTATTCTCCTTCGGCGAGCACGACGCGACCGCCGTTGCCCAAATGGATCCTCACGTTCTCGTGGAGCACATGGATTGCTAAGACTTCCTCGGAATGGCCCCGGACGTTTCCCTGAGCGTCAAGGGCTTGAGCGATTAGTGCATAAGACGAGTCGAGATAGATGGGTCCGCAGAGATTATATGCTGTAAACGTCGAATACCATCGCGTGTAGCGCATCTGCGTCGGTGTAACCAAGCCTGGGTCCAACGCGGCCGCGGGGGGCGCGGAAGGGTGGTCCAATTCCAACCAACGCTTCTTCTGCAGCCCCGCTCGACTTCTGTTCGACGCCACGGTACACGGCTGTTTCACCAGCTCCGCCTCGCCCAGGACGTACTGTCGAACCTGAGCCGACCCGTCCAGCGTCTGAAACGTCCACATCGACCAGTCGTCAATAGAACAAGGATCCCCGAGCCGCCGAGAGAATTGTGCTCCTACCGAGGTCCGCGCGTCGAAGCCCGCGACTCTGAATGGCTCGATGTCCTCGAAGGGAGTCTCGACGGTCTCGCCAACCTGCGGCTCCGGCGGCCGCTCCGCGGGCCGCGGGGCCTCGGCGCCCGTCTCCACGCAGGTGATGCATCGCCGCTTCGCGGCCGAGGACCACTGCTTCTTCGAAAAGCTCGCCCGGTGCAGCAGCCGCTCGCAGGCCCGACACGCCCGAGTAACGTCGTCGGGCGCCCGCGCCTCGGTCTGCGCGGCGACGTCGGCCTCCATGCGGCGTAGCTCCTCGCAGTGTGCCTCTTGGACCTTTGGTAGTAGCTCATCGATTATAATTTGCAAGAGCCCGTGCCAACCGGCGTCGCTGTGATTCCTGAAAACGCTCGTGCCGGTGCAGCCGGTGAGCGGGTGCTTGAGGTAGAAGATACACTGCTTCGCGGTCTCATCGATTTTGACGACACCCTGGCCACTACAAATCGCCTGGATCTGCGCGCGCATGTTCCTCCAGATCTCGGGATCGCGGCACAGCCCCGTGACGGATTGAGACCGCCTGCAAGTCACTGCCATCTTCGCGAGTAAGTTCG